TTAGAAGCAAAACACCGGGTATCTCTCTACTCATCATATTTTTTCAGAAGAGACAAATTACTAATACTTTTGATAATTCTTATTTATTCTGATGTGTATATTAGTTATGTGGTGAAAAAACCCTGATCTTTTTTATATATTTAGCTAATTAGAATTTAAAAATTGGAGATTGTCACTTTTGTTAAAAAGTGGAGATTGCCGGTTTTGCCTCTACACCCCTCAATTATATTAATCTTTGATAGAACGGCATTTCGTCCATCTGTCTCTAGTGAGGGAAGACTTAAAAAAATATCATATTCCTTTATGAAAATCGATTTGCCTAATTTACCTTTAAAAATACAATTCTACCATTGATACGTATCACTAGTTCCTAGTCAAAAAGCCAACTAAAAAGACTCGAATGCAAAATTATTTCCCATGTGAGTACGCACACTGCAACGCGCCAAAACGCGGATGACGGAAAAAAGTTGCTAGAGAAGTCTTCCGACTTCGTGACGGAAATCCCGCGGCGCGCTTCTTCGCTGCGCGCTCTGATGTGCGTTGGTACATTTAAATACATGGCAAGCAGACAAAAGAAATTTCCACATGGCGCCGCGCCGCGTCGCGCTGCGGTCTAGTGGGCGACAACCTTTAGGCATCTTTGAACCGGCCGGGATAAGACACTAAAAACATTAGACGATCAAATCTATTTTTCCAAGGATTCTTGATTGAAAAATTAGTGTTTTCAGCCATGGCACTCTAGATTGAAATTTAAAATACTATTTTTTTAAGGGAGAATGTCAAAAATTGACATATGATATGTCATTCTATTCAGAGTGTCATTTCCTATCAAACAAAGGAAAATAAAGTACCGAGGGTGCCATTTAAAAATCAAAAGTTGTTGTCATTTCAGTCAACAGGAAGTAACCGAAAACAATTGAATACGTCAATCATATACTAAAGTACCAAATCTCGTTTATTTATCTAAAAAAATAAAAAAGATATAGGGGTGAGCCACAGAAACACCCGGTATAGATGAACAGGGTCCAAAAAAATATATCAAAAATCAAAATATACCTATTAAAGGTTTGCCAAAAATCTTATAAGATAAACAGAAACAAATAAATATTCAGAGCCAAAATAATTTGACTTTACACGCACCTTATGTCCTGATTTTTTCAATTCCCAAACCGGCAACACTGCTTTTAAGGGTTAGCAAGCGCCAACGAAGGGCTGTAACTCATCACTTGTTGCCCCAAACTCAACTCCGCATGAATATTAATCAAGGACGACTAATTAAATGTTAATCTTTATTATTTTTATAGAATGGGCAGACGAATAATTCTCCACGGATACTTGCCGGCCGCCAATTAACCACCGTACTATCAATTATAAATGGGTACGATAACACCGACCGGGGGCAGTACCGTACTATGTCATTATCTTCACGAAAAATCTCGTAAAAAACGGCCATTATGTATGTTTACATTAAGAAATCTTTCGTCAAATTGGATCCTGTTGATTTTAATATGGTTATTAAAATGTGCTCTTTTGCATAAGGCTAGTAATTAAAACAAAAATACCTATTATTAGTGAAACTGTAAGAAGTAATAAAAATACTAATATTAAGTAATAATTAGTAACCACAATAATAATAATTATGGTATCAAATTGTAAATATAATAATTAATTAAATGGTGATTATATTAATTGACTGAGGGGTGCATGTCAAGTTATACAGGCATATCTAAGAGCCATTTAACATCAGACACTGACAGACAGTCATACTAAAATAGTATATTAAATAACGAGTTTCGAAGATGACGTTTTGCACACGAGTTCGACAGTTTGTTGGCTCGAGCCGCAGGCAAGAGCCACAAGTCGAACGAGTGTACAAAGAAGTTTTCGAACGAGTTTTTTACGCTATTTTTTCTACGATTACAAATTAGCAGCAGACTCACTTAGTTTTTGCCAGTTTTATGAAATAATTTGCGATGTAAAGATGACAGTTTTCTGACGGCTGCGTTGCGTTTGGCGTTTCAGCTAAACATTGGAAGTTAAAAATGTTAAAATTGGCACATGTCGTGTGCAAAATGCTAAAAAAATCCTTAGCACACAACAGTTTGCAAAACGCCAATTTCAGATCGAGTTTTCCGCGTGTCAAATTGCATTTTCTAGGCTAGTCGTAGAAAAATATATTTACAAACCCCAAATACTTTCCATAAGTACTACAACTCTCAAAATTATTAGGTTACTATGAATTAGTAATTCAGGGGAATCATTCTGTAACTTGATTTATAATATCTATATTCAAAATAAATGAAATAAAACCCTAACACAAGATAAAGAAGTAATCATACCTAACAATAATGAGAACCTAAAAACAAATTTGCAAAAATGCAATGAAATTCTGGGAAAATTGGTGATACTACATCCATGCATGTCAATATAAAATAGAATTACATATCTACTGTTTCGTTCAAAATTCTAACTTATTTCGATAACTATATATAAAAAGAAAATGATCATTGTTGTTTTCTATGAGTTGGCGGGAAATTGGCCCCTTGAAGTATGCCCTTTAAAAGTTTTATATTTGTTTGTTATTGTTTTTATATTAGGGACTGAACTTAGACCTTTCGTTTGATTGTTTTTAGCTTCTGTTGCAACGTTGTAAATGATTTGAATAATAATATTATAATACTCTATATCAAATTATTGTAAATTACTGTTATATATTAAATACTACTGATATTAGTTTAATGATATAATTTTATATTGTTAAAAATGTTGCAATACATTATTACTACACTCAGATGTAAAGAATACAACGGAAAAATGTTTAGTCAAGTTTAAAATGTTATTTTTAGTCGTATTTCCTTGATTTTTTCAGCAAACTATATATAAATTTATCAACTTTAATTCGTAAACTCCGTTTATTATGAACTTTAGTATTTGCCTTATTATACAGGGTTAATCGAAGAGTTGTTTTTTACCTTAATTTTAAAACACCCTGTGCAATAATTTTGTGAGCAAATTTTCTTAAAACAATATTTTTCAGTCAGAATTATGTCTCCTGAATATTTTGTTTTTAGACTTATGTCAACACATGTCTTGGTTAATTTCTAAGAGCAAAATGAACTTGTGACAAACATTTTCCATTTTTTTTCAATTATCGTTACTTTTTTATGTTAGGTACTCTTCATAATGACTAAGTGGCTTTGGTGATTATTGATTTAAATGTTATTGATCTTGTCGACGATGGCCGAAATTATGAATATTCGCTTGGTCCTTGAAGAAGAATGAAAATAACATCAAAAAGTAACAATAACTTAAAAATTCGCTCTTAAAAATTAACCAAAGCATATGTTGACATGACAGTCAAAAAACAAAATATCCAAGAGCCATGGTTCTGAACGAAAAATTATGTTTTAGGAAAAGTTATTCACGAAATTATTGCACAGGATATTTTAAAGTCTCTGAGTAGGTATATAGGTTCTTTAATTACAAGCAAGATAGATAACATGACAGTTACTCTACTACATACTAATAAAATTAAAAAAAAAACGTTTATTTTTATATGGAGATAATTATGAAATACCAACAGATCATTAAATTTTAACATCCATATAAACTTGCCAGTTCAAATAAGTAAGTACCAGTCGTGACAAACATAAATGAAAATTCCTTTCTGAAAACAGGTTTGGAATTTTCTCGTCGCCATATCATTACTATTTCATAACTTCTTTTATTTGAAAAACGTTTTCATTATTAATAATAAATACCTATAAAGATGTAATATTATACCTATAGGTATAAGAAAGTAGGTACCTATTTAAATAAAAAATACTCAAATTTTTAATTTCAAAATATACCTATAATTTATTTGTTCAAATACAAATTATAATAATTTATAGATTTTTCTACATCCTGTAGGTGTTTAACAATTAATAAAAAAAATCCGAACACCGACAATCACACTCAATGAGAGACACGCATGACATTTTATTAATGAACGGGCTATTAAAGAAGGCAGCGAGCGTAAACGCTTCGAAACTCATTGACAAAAATGGAAAAGAGCGTAAATCGCATATTATAGCGCGACCTTGAACATGCGCTAAAACAAAAAAGATTAAACGCTATAACTCCCCTTTTCGCATCCCTAATGACGTAGGGCGTCACAATATAAAAGGCGCCATCGATCATAACATCCCGAACCCCCTCACGTCACCCCTACGCCTACGCCAATGAGAAATATTGCACAATATTGTCTGTTGTTATGACTTATATTATAATGCTACAGTATATAAAAATGAGTGACTTTAAAGAGAGATGATATAGATATATTCAAGTAAAGAAATTCTTTTTTTTATATATAATAATGTAATAGGTATATTTTTCTATCAATACTTATCTGTGTTTTAAATCTACGCAATATTTATCGAAAATTTAACGAGATTTGTACAGTTAAAATATAGCAATGATTTAAACGTTTGCACCCAAATTGTTTATATAAATCAGGGTATCTCCCTGGAAATATTTATGCAATTGCCCACAGATAGGTTTTCCGTATATTTACGCTTCGCTGCATGAAAAACGAATTTACGAACTGAAAACTAATTGTTAGTTTACTCGATCATTTTAATCGACTTGCGATTGATAAAAAATCGCACGCGATTGCCGATGGTGAAAATTAATTATTGTAGCTGTACCGCAAAAGCCATATTATACAGTCACAACCAGGAAATCGAAGACTTTCGCGGTAGATTGAATGCTTGAATTGCTTGTTAGCTGGTAGAAGAATTCCAGGAATGAGGTTCGGCTTATTGCAATTTCGCCAAGAAACTCGACAATTTATTCCTAAAGTTTTAATTAAACAGCCAGGAGTGAATACTTGTTTCAAACTGACCGGTGATAAAAAGCCGGTCGGACACTTTTTTATAGTAGCCGGTTTCTTTTTAACTTGCAACACTGTGCAACAAAGTTTCAACATATTGCCTTAATATATTTAAGAAACAACTCACCTTAAATCCTGAGGTAGTCGTCGAAAATCAGTAAAGCACTAAACTTTGCAGATATACAAATAATGTACGAGTCCGAGTTCAATTGAAAAGTTTTTTCCGCACGCACGGAATATGCAACACAAACGATATATCAGAGGACAACGTGAAGAAAACTGCCTTCGTAACAACACTTTTCTTAATTTCCACGGTCAACTTTGTATACATCCTTAACTTAAAGAAAAAAGTTCCTGCAAAGGGAGACGTCAACGTCTGCAATTTGGAGCGGCCCAAATCTGACTAAACACCACGATTGCCGGCACGGATCTGGTTGAAGTTCTCGTTGGCGCTGCGCTATGCCGGCTCCGCGGCGTTGGAAGCCGGCGTATGGCCTCGCTCCTTCGATTTCTCCTGAGAATAAACGCTTTTTTCGAACTGGGAATAAACAAAAAGGGACGTACACGACTCGGTAATAACCTGTGTGTTTATTTTGCGGGATGTCGAACAGTACTATCAATGAATTTCGGGTTCGAAACGGCGACTATTTTACGAGGCGGAATGGGTGTTCCGCGCCACGACACGCGTTGCTAAAATCGGCGGTAAAATGGCGCGGCGTTGCCGGCTCGACCGATTTCTCCTTTTTTTTCGCTCTTTTTTTATTTCTCGATTCAAATATTTTTGTTTATTGTTTAAAAAAACGTTCAGGATTAATATTTATATTTTTATTCGCTAAATTCCTAAAACCGGTTTGATATAAAATTTATAAAAATCAATAGGAATTAACGATAAAAAATATTATATTTCGTGGATATTTAAATTTCTCAGGCTTTTTTCACTTCGTAATTTGATGTCCTTGAATTTTAAGAAGTGAGATAAAAATGATTAGAACTACTCTTGGCTTGTTGGGAGGACTTTTCTACAAAAAATTGTGACCTTAATTCTTATCGAAAAATATTTGCGAAATCCTTATGGCAATAAGTAGGTATATACTGAAACGGATTTTTTTAGTTGAGTAGATTTCCACTTCAAGATCATCGATCTAGCATTTAATTAGCAACTAGTTGATTAAATTTTATTAAAATAATTTGAAAATATTAATGACAAAGTAAAATACCAGGTTTTAACATTCTTTCCTTATTACATAAATGTCGAATGATTAGCAAGAGATATAATTAAAACTTTTTAGTAAATACCTACATTTTTCTGAGTATTTTACCACTCAAATAGTAAAAAAAATAGAAGTAATAAAAGATAAATAGAAAAAAAATAGAAATAATAAAAGATAAATAGTAAAAAAATAGAAACAATAAATAAAAAAGTTTTACTTAAGTGAGTAAACTAAAATAATAATTCTATATAATAAAATATAATAAATATAAGAATCCCATATAATAAAAATAAATAGTAAAAAAATAGAAACAATAAATAAAAAAGTTTTACTTAAGTGAGTAAATTAAAATAATAATTCAAAAATGGTACAGGCAAATATTGATAGATGTAGAATGTTTAGGAGGGGGGTTAATCACCGCGACCTTACAGATCTATTGTGTGTCCCCCTTTCTTGAGTTATAACGAGTTGTAACTCATCATACAGTCTCAGGGCTTTGACCAAAACCAGTATCTGAGACGGCTTTACAGAGGTTCTCCATCTAGTGTTTGGAGCTAGTCTATCTCCATCATAAAGTGGTTCTCCAGGATAGTTCTCCATCTGTGATATCAGTCGTACCAAAACCATATAGGAGTCCATATTTTTCCAGGATCGTTTTCTTAACTTTCTGATTATCTTTTGTTTGTTTTCATTTACCTTTCTGGCGGTTCAGGTAAAACCTTACAACTCTTTTAAAGGTTTTACAACCTCCAATAGGTACGCCTACAGGTATCGCACTGAATATCTCTGAAAGCACTGTACCATGGTTCAACAGGATATTTTTATTCACTGACATGGTTTATTTTGGGTAGTACCTAAAAAAAGATTAAACTTCTTTTATGTTTGGAAAATCCTAAAAAAATATTTTAAATTTAACACAGTTTATTTTTGAAAATCTCAAGATTAAATCTCAATAATGAAGTTTTTTTTGAAAGCCGTTTATATTAAATAAAAAAAAAAAAAGTGAAGTACCTATATTTCATTAATTTTGTTCAATTCAAATGAATTTCAAAGTGTCAGCACACACGCTACTGATGATAGCCGAATCAAATAAATTAGGGAATAAAAATAACTCTTATCTTTAGTTTTAATCTGCCAAAAACCAAAACTCTGATATAATTATTCGTTTATATATAAACCAGTAGCGGCTCGTGACCATTAGAACTGATGAGGCGACGCAAACGCGGACGAAAACAAAAAGACGGGGAGGGGGTCTAAGCTGCAACAAGTTTATTTTTTTTTCCTCAGATATAATATGTTTGAAGGTTTAACCTACTAAAAATGTCATAAGAACTTTTTTTTTGTTTTTATGTGTTTATTTTATTTTTGTTTTTTTAAGCAGCTAAGCAACAATAAGCTAGAGATTTTTTGCTCCTCAGATATAATAAGTTTGTAAGCATAACTTATTAAAAAAGTCATCATCGGAGCTGTTTCTTTATTTCTTTGTTATATTAGGGGGGTATTAGCTAACTAATCTAATGATCGTAATATAACAGCTCTAATTTGAGGTTTTCGTTCGTTAAATTTATCAATTATGTCATCATAAAACTTCCCTTCGTTCTCACTAAGGGTAACCAACATTTCCTTTTCAATTGAAAATAAAGACAAAGCAAAAAGTCTATCTTGTAACATTGTATTTCTTAAGTAAGATTTTATCCGTCTTAGACAAGAAAAATCCCGCTCGGCTTGAACACTTGTAATCGGGATCGTTAATTTGTCTTTTTATCATTTGTTATAACACTTATCTGGGGAGTAGGTCTGTTTCCCTATAAGACCTCTCTCTTTTCATCCTCCTGTCTTCTGGAAAACGGGGTTTCTAGAAGGGACATCACAATGTCATGTACATGATTCATTTTAAAGTCTGATTATTACAAAATAAATCACTAAACTCTGAATTACGGCTAGATCACACTACTTGCTACTCACAAAACAAACCGACCGAACAGATGTGACGTTTAGTAATTCCCCGAAATATCTAAAGTTAATTAATTTGCGTGGATGCCAAGAGTTCATATTATTCAAATTTATTCTATACTCTCTTCGATATACCATATTATTTCCATAATTATTGATGGGGTCGTAAAGATTACTTAATAGATTAATTTCAATTACAAAGAGCATTATAATATCGTATTATCCAGCCATATCAAGCACGAACTATTTTTGAACTTAATCAAGTTTGTAAAGAATGGATTTTTTTCATGAATCTGGCAACAGCGTTGTACTTAAGCGATTTGGCTGTCGCCTCTGCAGCAGCTAATTTCACGCTTTCCCTCCGCTTCCCCGACCCACTGATTTCAATATGTGACGTTTTAGTTCATTGATAAAAAAAGGTCGGCAGAGGCGGCAAAAATTACGCCTCAGGAACGCAGACCGAAAAGATGCATTGTAGTCCAGTTAAAACAGAAACGATATGGCGCGATAGGTTGGTTTAGACCGGTCGAAAAGTAAAAAGCTTGGTATATTTTAATAAAATTATTCAATATTAATATTGCTATAATATAAATATACGATTAGCTGGAAATAAATTTGTGTACTACTAAAGGCTAGAATTTCGAGGTAAGGCGGCGCCTCAGTTGCCTCACTTGACGGGCCGCCACTGATATAAACTCTTACGGTTACTTTATTTTTCTCTGTCTTTTAAAATTCTATACTAGAGATGAGCAACAAATCGCAGACTGCGATTCAATCGCAGACTGCGATTCAATCGCAGCTATTTTAAAATCGCAATCGCAACCTGCGATTGGCTCTCATATAGAGGGAACTGCAGCTGCGATTTCTTCTATTTGCGAGTTTCAATTTAGGCAACCAATATTACTATAGTTGCGAGTGGCGATTTTGTTGCGATTGCGATTTCGTAAACTAGGATCGTGATAACCTTTTATCTGCCAGTTTGAATTTTTAGGAGTTGCGATTTTGTTGCGATTGAATTTTTTCTCTGATTTTATTTATTTATAGAGAAGGTATTATTTTCTAGGCCCAAGGGTGGTTTCTCAAGAGTGGTTCGTCCTTATAATTTTTTTTACATTTACTGATCTGGATAAAATTAATAGTTAAATAGTAAGACTCACCCGGGGGTACTCCGCCCCCTAGCCACTGATATATTCTATTCAATATATCCCATTCCATATTTTCCATCTAATTCAAATATCATTCGGTTATACATATATTGGTTAATAATCTTCAACAACTAGCTAGTGTCACCTGAAACAGTATAGGGGCTTCCCCCGGACGCAACTCTGCCGCTAAACAGATTCGCATCCCAATCGAATAAGCTAATTGGGGTACCTCACTAGTCTCTCTACCCCAACGCCACATCGTGTCAATCGAGAAGACAAGGGAGACCTCAAACTCTCAAGATCAACCTCAAAGGAAAGACATCACCAGAGGTTTTCTTCCGGTCAAACGACCCGTTGCCTTACAGTACTTGCAACGTTTATAGTCAAAAGACTCTCAACCCCCAAATATCAGCTCTATGACAAAACACAACACAACAGCCGGCTGGCCAGTCTACTACTGAACCCCGTAGGCAAGCTAAGCCTCCTCTTACATCACAATTTTACCGGATCGTAAATGTTTACATTACTTGCCAATGAATCATACTATTTTCTCTAATCGACTTTAAAATAGAGTGTTTTAGCATTACTAGATAAATAAATAGAGAGTTTCCGAATTATAAAACCATTATTATAACCAACTTATTTTCCAAGTTTTACAAGTTTTTTGCTGCTACTACTACTACTTTTGCTTATCCAAATATATGAACTGGAAATTACCTGTCTAATAAAATCATTTGCAAATAAGGTCTTAACAACAACTAACAACTCAAAGAGCTATGAAACGAAGTATATGCTAGGGCTCTCTCTACGAAAAAAAAATCGTAATAAAAATATCAGGAGACAAACAAGAGTATAGTCTTGGTGCATTTCAGTTGATTTTAAAATTCCGACCGCAGCGCTCGATACGGCAGAAATCAGAAGTTTTAGCTCTGTATTTCACGCAGTTCCGATGTTGATCACATTGAAATAATATTAAAGCCGTGGCTTTGTCATAATATTTAAGTATTTTAGTTCTTAATAGTGCAGTTATTGAAACTATAAAACAATCAGGTACCTACGAGGTTTGTGCAATCAGTGTGATATAAACGCTGTTTCGGGTAGTAAAAATTAAGTGAAAAAGAACCCGAACCGGGCAGCGCTTTGTGTTGTAACAATTTCAAATGTTAATATAATTGTCGAAAAAATGTTAACACATAAAGGAGGGCGTAATTACGTGGTTGCCGGCTGCAATCACATTCAATAACTCATCTTTCCCGAAACAACATTTTATAGTTTTACGGCTTCTCATACCGATTTGATAAATTTTTAAAA